AAAAAAAACATTTTAAATTCAAATTTTAAATATTGTCAAAATACAGAACAAACTAATACACAAGTCATTAGGTAATTTTCATTATTTACTAGGAGGAAATACTTTGTGGGATAGCATCTTTTTTAGGTGGGGCTGTTTCCCACCTGCCATGGACCGGCCTCACCTGACCCTCTTGAAGTCCTCCTCCGAAACCTCATCTATTATCTAACAGCAGCAGTGAAGGTTGTGAAAGGTTGAAAATACTTTCATCCTGTCACTGAAGGGAGATGTAGGTTTTTATAATCCAGCCCATGTAGAGAACTTAGTTGTTTACAGATACAATAATTCTTGTAACATGTTTGTGTTCATGCACCTAATGCAAAATAAAATGTATATATTTGGTGCTATCGTGCACACATTTTAGATAATAAACACACCATCATTGTAAGGTTGTTCTGTTAGGCCAACAAAACAGTCCATGATTCTGTCAATCCTTTGGACCACCGATCTATAACTATTATTCAGTTACTAGAATAAAAAGAAGCAAAGTAGCCTAACTTTAAAGTCATAATTTTAAAATCAGGGTTTAGAAAAGGAAACATTGAAGAAACCTCCGTTTAAAATCAGGCGTTGCCCCAGTGAGTGCTGAAATGATTTTTGAAAAACAGATTCATTATTTAACGTTCTTTTCCTCACAGAGGTTTCAGGTGACACGTTTAAACATCTGGTTTCAACCACACGTGAGACAATTGTTTTGAACTGAACCTCTGTGCAGGAGAAATGAAGGGCGGTGTCAGGGAGCTGTACGGAGACGAACCGTTTTATTCTGTACCACCCAGACTCATTTCTGTGTTGGAACAAGCTCGTGGATGTCTTGCTCCTTCTCCAGCCTCTTCTCCATGGCAATGAGCAGCTGGACACCGTCCACCACCAGCTGAGTCAGCTCCACCTCACTTAGGCCAAAGGTTGCAGCATTGCTGACTCGGTGTTGTCTAGAGATTTCTGGAAAGTTTCAAACAAAACACTTTATTTATTTTGAGTAGAACTGAAGTAAAACGTAGATCTCAGGACCGTTTTCTGTTAACCCTTACAGAAAATCTTGCAAAGCCCGTTGTAAAACCGATGAGCATCGTCGAATGGCGATTGTGCATCTCGACCACTACGAGGGATAGTTTAAGATCTGAAGCATTGATTTGTCAAACGGTTATCAATAATTAGGATCTTATGATCTGTGGGATGTAAAAAGACGAGAGGCTTCATGCAGGCTCGGCTACAGCTCATAATACAACTGTGTCTCCAAAACAACGTGCTGGTGTGTAACAATGCTACATTAGCTAACATTAAACTTGTACACGTTTGTTACCCGTGCACTGTTCCGCTAATCTAACGGCTAATAGCAGAACTAATTTTTCATTTAGTGGATTGTTGCTACTCTTCCTTTCACATCTTGTTCTGGTTCAGCGCGCTTTCTTGTGCAAATTTTAAACGTTTTTCAGCTACTTTCAGCTGTTTTTTCAGCTGTTTCTGCTCCTTTCAGATTCTTTCTGCCAACTGCAACATTTTTGTGCTTCTTCTAACTTCTTTTTGCTCATTTCAGCTTGTTGTGCTCCTTTAAGCTTATTTTTGCTAGTTTTAGATTTTTCTGCTACTTCAGCTACTATTTAGCTGTTTTATGCTCATTTTAGCTAATTCAGAGCTAATTATATATTTCAGCTCTTTCTGCTTCCTTGTGGTAGTTTAAGCTTTCTGACTTCAGCTACATTTCAGTTTGTTTTTGTTTTTTATTTCAGCCTTTTTTTAACCTCATTTCATAATTTTCTGCTCATTTCTGCTTATTTAAACTGAATTCAGCCATTTTGTGTTCTTTCTGCTTTCTTCTGTCAACTTGTGCTTGTTCTTCCATTTCAGCATGTTTTAGCTAATTTCAGCTGTTTTTCTTCAAGTTCTTCAGCAATAAGCACTCGCACTGCATATTTGCAGGAAATGCAATTTCTCCAGTTATTGTTTGTTTGTTTGTTTTGCTCACAATCTTTATGAGTTGGGAGTGGGTATTCTAGGCGTTTCCAAACAACCCTGTGGTTGCTAAACTTATGAACGCCAGTTCTTTGTCTCGCATAATGAAAACATGCCGGTAGGTTTTGGGCACGGTGCAGGGAAGGGTTTCTGTTTAACATGAGGCATGTTGAGGGTTTCTTTTGATGACCAGATGAGCATCTTTGCAGAAATGTCTGTTTTGACATATCAATATGCTCCAGTGCCTTAAACAACGTATTCTCCAACACACCACGTGCCTAAAAAGAGCTACATAAAGACTAGAAGTTACAGAGTGGGTAAGTCCTACTGAGTCAAAGTGAAGAACATGCTGACTATTCTAAGTTTGAGTTGAAGAACATCCCACCTGTTTTGTCCATGCACATCCTCAGTCTCCTCAGGACATCCTGGAGGCGTTTGTGATAGGGAAGGTGTTGCAGTTGGAGGTAGATGCTGATCCTCAGACCTGTTCCCACGTCAGCCGGAGAGCTTGCCACCCATCCCAGTTGCTGTTTCCAGATGAACTGGTGCCTGAGCTCTCTGTAGTACTCCTGAAGCTGGACTTGCACAGGTAAAGCAAGCGGTGAGTCGCAAACTTGAATTTCTCGCAGAGCAACGATCAAAACTTGTTTTGCAAATGAATATTTGCCAGTGACCTCTTTGAATATTCCAGAATACTTAAGATCAGCGTTTCTGCATTTTTACCACGAGGAACCGTTTAAACTGAGAATTCTCTCTCTCACCCACCCAGTGACAATTCAGAGTCACCATCAGTCTAACATGCATGTTTTTGGTCTGTGGGAGGAAACTGGAGCACCTGGAGAAAACTCTACAGGTTAATTCCATTGAGCCCAGGGACTCATTTACAAGAAAGACCTGATTTGTAACAAAGAGTGATGACAACAGTGGACAACGACGACAACAATAGATGGTCATAAAGGATGCGTACAAATTGAGAATAACAAGTGAAAATAAAATGGTATTAAAAAAATCTTACAAAAAACAGTTAGGTTGTAAAGCGGTGTAGAAAACTAAAAACAGGAACGTATCAGATGTTTGAAACCACTTAGAGAGGTCAAAGGTCGAGAGCTTCAGATCTTTTTACAAGATATTCCAGGAAACAGGAGCGGAGTAGAAGGTCCTTTGGTCTAGTTCAGTCCTCACTGAGGGAACACTGCAGGTAATGATGTCCTGAGAGCGCACGCTGTAGCTGCACTCACACAGAGACATGTAGGAGGAGATGTATGAAGGCAGCAGACCAAGAAGTGATTTAAAGATGAAAATGTACCAGTGAGAGAGTCTGTGTGAAGTTAATGGTGACCAGTTAACCAGTGAATACTGGGTGCAGTGGTGGGTACGGTAGTTACAGCCAGTTATGAATCTTAGTGCACCATGATAGACAGCATCCAACATCTGCAGCATCCAACATCTGCAGCATCCAACATCTGCAGGGTTCTTGTAGGGAACAGGGGTAACCTGCTTTATGTAAATATAACTTCTTCCATTTACTTTTCATTTTATGTTTTTTTATGATTGTCTACTGTTGTCATCTGTGTTCTTTGTTTAAAACAGGTCTCTCTTGTAAACGAGTCCTCGAGGCTCAATGAGACTTACCTGTGTATCAATAAAGGTTCAATTGAATTGAATTGAATATCAGACCCTTTACTGACCTTCTGCAGGTTGATGCAAATAGATTTAAAAGCTTCAGCCACGTTGGCATCATGACACACCGACACTAGCTTCAAGTGGTCTTCCATGTTGACCCAGACCATGAAGCTTCCATCTTTACTCACCCTGCAAGAAAACAGAGCATTAAATATTTGCCAGAACCCCTAAAAAAAACCTGATTGATATGTTTGACTGTAATTTTCCTTTACCAGACTACATGCCAGTTTATCAATCAATTCAACTTTATTGTCCATAACATTCAATGAAATGGAGATTTGTCTTTGACATCTGGCTCATAAAAACAACACAAGATAAAAATGTGATTTAAAAAAAAAACTTTAAAAAGCTTTGCTAAATCAATTAAAAACATTCAGTTAAAACCATTCTAAAATGCACGATACATTAAAATATGGACACATCCCAGCAGACAGTGGTTTGTCATGTGAGGCTGCGTTTAAAAAGGACCTTGTGAAGTTCATTCACCGCAGAGGGAACAAATTACTTTTTTTTACCAATTTTTCTTTGCTAAAGGAACCAGCAGTCCTACCAGATGGACCAATCTGAATAATGGTTGCAGTGGATCAGTTGGGTCATTGTAAACCTGGATTGCCTTTTTTTCCAGAACCCGACTGTACAGGTCTGTAAGTGTCATTTGTTGATGACCAATGACTTTACTTTACCTTGTTTGACCCCCGGGACAACTTGTTCCTGTCTCTTGCTAGGACCATGAGACAATATTCAATGAAGCAACACTTTCAACCAGTGACCTGTGCATCAACTGCAAAGTAATTTTGCTTGCATTAAAGCTCCTTAGCTCATACAGAAGATGGAGACGCTGTCTGGATTTTTTGTAAATACAGTCAGTGTTGGGTTCAAAGGTCAACTTGTGGTCAGTTATTGTTCCAAGGTATTTAAAATCAGTCACCTGCTCTACTTCCTGCCCTTTTATAATAGAAGGCCTAAACGTAGGTCTGGTGCTGGCTGCCCCCCATCTACCTCCCAAACAAAGTTCCTTGGTTTTACTGACATTAAGGTCCAGAAAACTGTCATCAAACCAGTCAGAGAGCTGGTCTATGAGCTGGGAGTAGGAGGGACTACTGGAGTCTTTCAGACCAGCAACTAGGGCAATGTCATCAGCATACTTAATTAATGTGAAATCTTTACTGTTGTTGTGCAGAGGGATAATGGGGCTGGATATATATATTGTAAGTTATCAGTTATGAGTTAAGCTCATAAGATATGCATTTATTATGCAAATAACCTGGTTGTGTGGGCACCACCTCTCTTTTAGAGGAAAAATCAGTTTCTAACCCCAAATTAAATGTAAACTGAAACGGGAGTTCTTTCTCGTGTTTAAAGGCCATGAAATCAGTTAATACACACAGATATGCCAAAATAATCACAAATTCAGTTGATTTTATGTATTTTATTATAAAAATAATAATCTGTGACACATGTGATGAAAATTATGCATAACAAACAAATGAATAACAATAGCTTTTTATCAAAGGTCTACTTGATTATTCAAATCAGTGAAACTTAAAAAGGCAGATTTTGGACTGGTTCTGTTTGTGAAGTAGTTAAAATTGTGTCTAAGGTGAGAGGTAGTTTGTCTAAGATTATTGTGATGTATGATCACCAGAAAGGCATTGAAGATCTCTTTCCTACCAGAATGAGATGGTCAGGAATGGTCCAACAGCTGCTTAAAAATGGTACCAGCCCAGATGTTCTGGTGACGGAGAGACTGATTTTTCCTCAAAGTTCACCTGTCATCTTAGAGGGACGAGGGTCCATATGGGAGCCAGCGGGGATTTTTCCACTCCTCTGCGGTGTGATGGTTCTGGTAACAAATCTCAGGTTAATGCCACGTTCTGTGTCTTTCTCTCGTCCTGCGACGTCTGCAGAAAGGATGCTTCTCTCCTCTCTGAGTCCAGTGCAGAAACTGGCTTTCTTCTCTCCGGTTCTCTTGTGCAGAAGCGTGTTTCTCTCTGGAGTTCTCTCTCCAAAACTCCCGTGAAGTCTTCTGAGACGAATCCTCCGTGAAGTGTGTAGAGAAAGATGATGTGAAGAAGTGAAACTTAACTGTCTGTGTGTTTCAGTGGGATTAACCTGTCTAAATAAAGGTTGAATGAATTTGGAGAACTACTCTGCAGAGTACTAAGCTCCAGCTAGATGTTCCTCCTAAGCTGGGACATTATAATACCAGATAGTAAATAATGGACAGCCGGTAAACTAGTTTCCAAACAAGTCTTTGTTTTTATTCTCTCCAGGGACGTCCAAATCCTGTTCCTCAAAGTCTTCCAAGACCTCTTTATTCCTTGTGACATCATCTTGTCCCTCCAACCATCTAACATTAAACTGGTCCTACGGTAAACAACAACAACAAACTGGTCCTCTCTCCAACAATACTCACTTCCTCTGGATCACCTCACCTCCTGTGGAAACCTGAACCTTGTCTCTCCCACCTCTCCAACTCCATCTACAAACACAACCCCAGTAAAAACAAGACTATCATCAAATAAGATTCATCATTCATTCAACCTGAAGATCCACCAAAACTCACCTTGTCCATCTTTTCCATTACGGCCCTGGACTTGACCCACACTTGTAAATAAAGCACTTCCTTTCTTATGTCTGACTCTGTCTCTTGGTTAATCTACTATCTTTGGGTTAACTTAGTCTAAAATCATGTTAGAATGTCCCAGCCAACCTGACCGGAGGACCAGATCCAGCACTCTATTCAGACACAGAACAAACGCATTGATCTTCATGAACAGACTTTACAGCAAATACTTTCACATCAACAAACTGCTCAAACTGCCCTCCAGGAACTCAGCAGCATAATTTTCTTCATAGAACAGAAATTTTCATCATTCCTATCCACGCCCAAGACCCGTTCACCTCCTCGTCAACCCAAACCCATTCCTAATGACAAACATCATGACGCTCTGAGAACCTGATATACAGTACATCCATGCAAATGTTTTGAAGGTAATGCCAGTCACCGTGGCAGATTTATTCTACAGTCTAATCTTGCATTTAATCATGCACCACTAACTTACTCCTCCGACTCATCCCGCATTATCTATATTGTTAGCTCGTTTAAGGGTGAGGCTCTCCGTTGTAAGTGAGTCGCTTCTACTTTTCTCAAAGATTTCTTACGTGTCTGATCATCCTTTGATCAATCATTTAATTGGCTTTTATGTATGTGAATGTCTCCTGTAAAGTGCCCTGAGACAACTTTGTTGTGATTTGGCGCTATATAAATAAACTGAATTGAATTGAATTGAATTGAATTGGATTGAATCCCCTTCAGCAGAAGGACGCAGCTCAGAAACTGGTTACACAATGGCAAGGTAACAATTCCATTTTAGATTTTGCTATCCACTTGCACATTGTCAGGGTGGAGTCTGGATGGGGAGAAAAAGCCCTGAAAGGAGTCTTCGTCAACAGATTAAATTACCAAATTAGGGACCAACTAGCCAGCAGGGAACTGGACGATTTGGTCAACTAGCGATCAGAATCAACAATGCATTATGTGAACAGTTCATGGAGATTCCCATAAGTACCCCGCTACTGGAAGTACTTCTCCTCCACCTTTAACTGTTGCCTCCGAACCCGAGTCTGTGCAGATAAGACGAACATAACTTTCACCCGAAGGGCGCCAATGCCACATCAGCTCCAATGAGTGTCGCTACTGTGGTAAAAGAGGTCATGCTATCACTTCATGTCAACTTTGATTAAAAGGGAAAGCGCACCAGTAACCCAGGAGATACTGGCGGGTACTTCTATTTCTCCTGAAAAAAAATTTAAGTTTACTGGCAATCCTCTGTGTTTACACTTTAAATTTCCCCATCCATGCTAGTTGACTCAGGATCAGAGGAAAAGCTCATCAGTAGACCTCTAGTCAAAAGACTATGATACAAACAACAGAGCTACCTCCTGCTGTCTCTGTGGCCGCTGTCACAGGGCAAACCATCTCCTCCTTTTAATGTCATGAGTGAGATCACTCAAGACATTAAAATTTCATTTTGTCGTTTCTGGCAATCATCATGAAGAAGGTGAGCTTTTTGTTTTTGACTCCTTTAACACCTAACTCATTTTGGTTTCCCCAGGTTAAAGAAACACATTCCTCTCATTAATTAGACTGAGAATTGGGTCGAAAGGTGGGGCAAGAACTGTTTAGGAAGATGCTTACACTGCCATTTCACCAGGATCTTTCTTTAACCAGACCCGTGAAAAGATTGATCATTCTAAAGTTCCTCCAGTCTACCATGCACCCAGTCTTTAGCAAACAGCAAGCAATATCCTTGCCACATCATAGACCCTATGACTGTCCCATAGATCTCCTTTTGGGTGCCCTGCTGCCATCATGCAGATTATACAATCTGTCAGGACCCAAGAAAGAGGAATGAGGAATTACATTGCTGAATCACTAAAATCTGGCATCATTTGGTCTTCCAGTTCTCCAGTTGGGGCAGGGTTTTTTCTTTGTGTCCAAGAAGGATAAGATATATAATGTAATAAAAACCTTCATTTTTATTCTCTCCAGTGACTTCCAAGTCCTGTTCCTCAAAGTTTTTCAAGACCTCTTTGTTCCTTCCGACTTGGTCGGCGTGACATCATCTTGTCCCTCCAACCATCTAACCTTAAAATGGACCTACAGCAAACAACAACAAACTGATCCTCTCTCCAACAATACTCACTTCCTCTGGATCAGCTCACCTCCTGTGGAAACCTAGGACCTCATCTCTCCCACCTCTCCAACTCTATCTACAAACACAATCACAGTAAGAACAAGACTATCATCAAATAAGATACATCATTCATTCAACCTGAAGAACCACCAAAACTCACCTTGTCCATCTTTTCCATTACAACCCTGGACTTCAGCCACACTTGTAAATAAAGCACTTCCTTTTTGTAGGCCTGACTGTCTCTTCCTCAGCCTACTATCTTTGGGTCAACATTGTTTAAGATCATGTTAAGTACAAGTTATAATTGATTGTTATAGCTAGTTTTCTTTATACCAATGTATTACAACAGATATTAACAATTCGTCACAACCATAAAAATTGTGAAAATAGCACATTTATCTGTTCAAATATTTCATTGTCTCATCAACCTTTTGTAATGTCTAATTGGGTGTATTTTGATGGAATATGTTTGTTGATCTTTCATAAAAGGGCATAAACAAAAGGTTGTTTGAAACAAATCTGTTGCAGGCTTGAGAACGAAATTTACTCCATAAATGGGCATTTTGATGTTGTATGTGCTCAAGTAAAATGAATTAGTGACAACTGGCATATTGACTTCATAAAGGAGAGTCCCATGTCAAAATGTAGTTTTACTCTTTATGACCAAGTAAAAAGCAGAGCGGAAAGAGCAGGTGCTTGCATGCAGGTGGAGGTAGAAACAATGCTAGAAAATCAGGTTTGGCCTTGATTTTTCTTTATCAATGCAGAAAACAGACCAACCAGACGGCCCTAGCATCCGGCCAGTCCCGGGCTACACCAATGCGGAGCTGCAAGGAAGATGGTGGCTTCAGATTCTGCTTCAGCTGCTGCTCCTGGCTCAGCTCCTTCAGTAATAGGAGATCTCCTGGCAGCTCTTCTTCCAGCCTCTGCAGTGCTGAGACATACAGGAACCATGGTCAACTGGTTTATTTGTGGGTTAGTTGGGGACGGCACCTATTATTCTACACCTCGGAAGAGTGTCTTCATTTCTATCTCCGTTAATGCGGCCCGAACCACAGCGTCTACCCCCACAAAAGTTATATCAAAACGACTGGCTCGGCCCCGTGATGTGTGTTATTACTTTTATTGGCATATCGAGTTACCATGGAGACGTAATTTGCGAACAAAGACGCAATATTTCACCAACTCCAGGAACTAGTTGGTGACTGCCCACTTATTATTCTACGCCTAAAAAGCGTATCTTTTTCAACTTTAATGTGGCCCGAACCGTAACGTAGACCCCCACAAAAGTTATATCAAAATGACCGGCCCGGCTCAGGGAAGTGTGCAATTACTTTTATTGGCATTCGCAGTTACCATGGCGACATATTTTGCTAACAAAGATGCCAAATTTCCCATAGGAAATGAATATGAGAAAACTCTTCACAGAAACTGAGTAACATATGGAGCCATTTTGGTTCAACATGCATGGAAGCCATCTATTATTACCTATTATTATTATTAATTAGTAATAATAATAAATATTATCTATTTTAATATAATTATTAATATTAATACTAATTGGTGTGAATATTATTAATATTTACTATTATAACTATTTTTATTATTATTATTAATGTAACAATATATTGATAATTATTAATATTAATCATTAGTATTGATATTAATAATTGTTAATATTAATATTTATTATTAATAATAATTTAATAATAAATTGGCAGTCCCCGTCAAAGTATCTCCAGGAACTTTCTAGTTTATTATTGTTCCTGCTGTTCACCAAGGGTGGCTTTTACATGAGGACTCCTGAAAGACCCTCAAGGTTTTGCTTCCCAGTGGAGACTGTGGTGGTGTTTATTCTGTGAGACTGGTCCAGTCTACTGACTGGAATGGTGCAGACATGTACCTGTCTTGGCCAACAAGAGGAGCTGCCGGCGCTCTCCTCGGCTGCAGTGTGTTGGGAAGCAGAAATCCTCAACACCTCGAACCACGCTGACCTCACAACGTACAGCATAAGACCTGTCCAAGTCATCACCCCCCTAACGCACATGAACAAACAGTAAAATCAAATCTTAAGTTGTTGTGACGACCTGTGTAAAATATTTTGTTAATGAAAGAGACTTTAGTAATTGAGACAAATATCTGAACGAAAGTTTTTATATATTTGCGCATGCTTGTGTGTGTTGTCATGCAAGAACAAGAAATTTCAGCATAATGACGGTGATTGCTCATGGCTATGTTAAAATGGGAAAAATATTTAATTTGTTCAATATTACATAGACATTTTCAGAATTTTGCATTTTAACAAATTGTCAACGTTGATAGCACCTAAAAGATCTTGAAACATCAAAGCAGCCCTATCTGAGTGTTTCTGGACCCATACCTTCAAGTTGTTATAGTTGAAGTCACTTTTTGGGGTCTGGCTGGTGATCTTGTGGTCATGATGTGCTTCAATGACTCGGTCAAAAAAGTCACAAAACAGGACGTAGGACTGTGAATCCCCGGCAACACAGCCAACACTTATCGGGTCTGAGAAATCACCTTTACACAAAGAGAGAGAGATTTTATATATATATACTGTAAATGCATATTATATACAGTATCATAACGTACCAAAAAGCACTCCGTAAAGCTAGAACTTTATATTATTCATCTTTAAATTATGAGAATAAAAATAACCAAGTTATTTTCAGTACCATAGCTAGTCTTATGAAAAATCCTGTCTCTGTTGATTCATGTGACTTCATGAGATTCTTTATTAATAAAATTATTTCAATTAGGGAAAAAATTCAAACCTTTCTACTATTGCCTCTGGTTCTGTGTCAGATGAGACAATTTAAAAATGTCACTAGAACCTGATTTATGTTTGGACTGTTTTTGTCCTGTTGAGCTCTGAATTGTTAAAAATAATAGCTTCATCCAAACCATCCACATGTCTGCTAGATCCCAACCAGACTATTTAAAGACGTATTTCCCTTAATTCATATCCACATTTGGAATTTGCTTAATTTGTCTCTACTGAATGGTTACGTACCACAGCGCTTTAGGGGTGCTGTAAGTAATTCTTGTACTAAACAGGTTTGCAGCATCCAGACTAGCTGTCTCCTACAGTATATATTACCTGCAGTGACTATTGATCACAGGGTCATGTAAATTAACCTGTCCGCTGGCGAAGCGACAGACTGCAATGAAGTGACTATTTTACTGATACGGCCTTTGGTCACACGGGACAGCTGACGAGTTTTGGTTAACACTTTAAATTGTAAAATCCTAGAATTAGACAGAAGGAAAAACTTTTAGCTGTTTCAGCACATTTCAGCCAACATTCAGCACTCAGCGTTCACACTGCATGTTTGCAGGAAAGTAACTTAGTTTCTCTTAAGCTCTTGGTGCTTAGCATTATAACTGAAACCCAGAAAAAATATTCCGTATATGAAGCCACAGCAATTTTAATAAAGTAGCAGTGATTTTTATAATGAACTATGGATTGTTTCCTGATTCCGACCCTCTTCTTATTTCGACAGTCACCGTTATTGTGGTATCACCTGGTTCCTCGATGCCGGGCCGAATAACGTCGTCAAAGATGACTCCACTGTTGGTGCAGCGGTTGAACTGACGGCTGTACATGGCTGGAGTAAGGATCCGTCCCATCCAGGTGCAGTTCCTGCGCAGATCAGGATACTCCTCTTCAGGAGATCCTCTCCTTAAATGGAACCGGGACATGGGGTCAGGTGGTGCCAAACTCTGAACACACTGGAAGGGAAGAGAACTAAGTGACCGTTTCCACTGCTGAAGGAAGGATTAGAATAAAAAAGTGACCTGAATATAGGTCAGAATATTTCTGAAATATTTAATTTGAATTGTTTTCTATCATGAACAAAGTCTTTTTAAATTTCTATATTAATTTTATTTGCATATGGATGGATGAATGGATGGATGGATGGATGGATGGATGGATGGATGGATGGATGGATGGATAGATGAGCAGGTGGGTGAATGATGATGGATGGATGATGAGTGGATGGATGGATGGATGGATGGATGAATGAGCAGGTGGGTGAATGATGGATGGATGAGTGGGTGGGTGGATGAATGGATGAGTGGGTGGATGGATGAGTGGGTCGATGAGTGGGTGAATGATGGATAAATGTGTGTGTGTGGATGGTTGGATGATGGATGGATGAGTGGCTGGATGGATGGATGATAAAACAATATGATTCAAGAAGCTGATTGTAATATATATATATATATATATGTATATATTTACTTTTAATAATTAGAAAAATAATTTCAAACAAAGTTCAAGTTCTGTCAGAATAGATTTTTTTTTAAAGTAGAAGCTTCAAATAAAAAAATGGAACTAAAATTATATTTTACAGCAGGAACTGGAGTTTCAGGAGAAACTGAATCTGTTAAAATGTCCAACTTGTTGAAATGTTGTTTACTGAACTGTTGTTTACTGAACTGTTGTTTACTG